CCCCCACAATAAAGGATCGAGACAGGAGAAACGTTTTTGAATGATTCAGCCTTTATTTATCCTCTTGTTACATTTTTGAATTTCTCAGATTACCCACATTTACCAGAATCCCAACCCCTCAATCCGCTTTTACTCAATACCCACATTTACTAAATTAATTCCTCGGTTTTTATTTTGCCAAGTATCATTTTAATACTAAGTTAAGGCCGTCATTCCATTGTTGAGACGTCATTGCCGCAATCAATACCTGGGAAAAGAAAAGATGTTTACAATTACCCGGGGTTAAACATTACCCATAACAACAATACTGGCGAGGAGCTTTGAAAAGTAACAGAATGTTGGAACCCGTTAAATTACATAATACTGATTATACATGGAGTTTCACAAACGTCTTAACAAACATAGCAAACAACTTTGAGTGGCAACTTGAGAACGACTTATCTTCTTAACAAAGTACGCCAATCTTCATGTCAGTGTATACATCGCATAAAATAGATGTGAGTTATTTAGGCTCCGCCGCACTACGCCGGTGAAATTTCCAAACGGCGTTTTCACTCTCAAAGCGCATTAAATGTTTTACGTCTTCACTACGCCGGACAATTTGAAAACGCAACAATCACCGGTCAGCGGTCATTTTGGATTTGTGTTTGAGGAAAACAAGGGCAGCGAGGTCGCATGATAATCATGACGTCACTTTTTTCGAAAAGCTCCGTTTTCGTGACGGATTAGTGTGGACGGTAGGCCTGACCGTAGAAATAAGGCTGCGTTCTCAAATTCCTCCCACGTAGTCTGGACTGGGCTTTAGTTGATGTATCCTTGTGTATAAATTTTTAATTGAACTTTAATTTTTGACGTGACATTTTCAACTATCCTATACTGTTAGAAACATATTTATGCTAATTTTGTAGTTTTAACTCCCAGTTTTTATCGCTAGTTTTTATCATAAAAACGGTGTAATGTAGTTATTATAGAAAAAAAAAAACAAAAAAAAACAAGCAATAACAAATGTAAATGCGGGATTAAAGTATTGACAAATTAACAAATAAAATAAATAATTCCCCGCTAAGAATCCATACCCAGAGTATCTGCAGCAGCAATAATAGTCGTTCTCGCAGTACTTGTCTTCGCGGCATGGTTCATATTCAGGTGGGCACTCGCTGTACTCTGGGACGCAAAACTCTTCCATACTGTTCATGCACTCTGTAAACAAAAACAAAAACTGATCGTTTGTTTGCTAGCAAACAACGAGTCATGCTCGAAGAACAACCTAAGAATTGCAGTTCATTCTAATGAATATGTTCACAAATCAGTTAAAAAGTACAATTTGAACAACGTGCGGTTGTCGTCAATGGAACAATGAGACACTTACGCTCGCCCCACTGCCTGGCGTGCAAGGGGTTTATCCTCTTGTTTCCGGAGACTGCACCCTGCACGGTAAGTGCACCCAAAATGATCAGCAACAGGCAGGCAACTTTGGTGTCCATCACTACTTTTAGAGAAACAGAAAACAGGAATCAAAACTTAGAGAAAACAAATGTACAACGTTCTTATAGTTTCTTACGATTTAAAGAAGCTTAGTCACGGTGTTTTCAGTTATTTTGAACACGTACAAAATATTATTTAAATTATAGAGAACCTGAACATAGTGGCTTACTAAGATAGAGAAACACCAAAAAGATAATGATAAACCATGAAGGAACAAGTATGTTTAAGGATGGAGCAGGTTAACATGGATTACAAACGACAAAATTGAACAATTTAGGCTAACATTTTCAAGGTGCGCAACCGTGACGTAGCTCCCTTAACCCTCAACGACCTAACCCAAAGCTTATTCAGCACGTCAGGCTTCTTTCAAAGGCCTCTGTTTAACTCAAAATACTGAAGCATAGTTTAATGTCCTACCTTGGCTTGAAAATTGGAACTTCCGACGGTGGTTCACTGTGCGATATCAAATACTCTCTTCAAGTACTGATGAACACTGCAAGACACGCTCTTATTTATTCCCCATGGGCCGCATAATTTATGCATTTTTGAGAAGCGGTTGCCTTTTGGAATATGAATAACATACACTTTAAAAAACATGCCTACATGTTGATATGGCTACATTGACTACAAAATCATTAACTGTCTGGCGGTGTTCGTTTATTTTCCTATCTCCCTCAGTAGGGGATGCTTTTAATTTCGAACCTTTCCTACGCCTGATGCATATTTTAAGATTCATCTCTAAACAGCTAAAATATTATTAAATTCCCGCGTGCCTATTTCAGTTTTCTTCCGAGATTTTTTCACTTGCAACGATATCCTGTTGGTTCTCCATACAAATATATTCCTAATGATACAGGTGAAGTGAGTTGTAATGCCTATTTGGATAAGCTTCCGACCAAACCCAAGAAAAGTCTTTTTAAACAGTCTGCTTTAAAGTCTTGGGTGCGGCCACGGATTCTTTCTCCGCGGACGAATATAACTGTATGAAAAAATGATTGGGAGCAACTGAAATTCACGAGAAGTGCTGTCTCAGACCGAATTCCTAGAGTAAGCTGTCGCCTTTGGATAATGTGAGATTGATTAAGAACATCAGAAAAATAACAATGATTAAAAATACCTCTTTGGTTTTGTTTTGATATTTATATCTGTGTTTAAGAAGGTTGCTGGTACTATAAACTTATTGACAAATTTTTTACTCGTACTGATTATAAAACAGTTACCAATGATTGTTTTGTTAACAACCTTCTAAATAACTCTTTCAAAACTCGTTGAAAGTTTTCCGACATTCTAATTTTTTAATAATTTTAGCGCGGAGAGTATTTTTATCTTATTAGTTTTGAGCGGTTTTGTAGTTTGAAAAGAACCTCTCGATGTTGCTAATATGCGGCAGCCTTTTTTAGTTTGTTGTTCGTACGTTTTTGTTATTAGCGTCTAACTGAAAGCGCGATATGTCCATGTTTTTAAGGCAAGTTGAATAAATATTTGAGGGAAAAATGAGACAATGAAACAATGAAACTGGTTTCTATGTTTCGTTTTATAATTTTTGCGGGATTTTTAACTGACACTAGCTAAAATTTAATTCATGAATACAACTTGCCGTTTAATCCCACTAATATATATGGGTGTGCAGCTTTTAATTTTGGGGGAAAATAAGATGTCGAAACAGATTAGCTTTGAAAAAGGAACTGAAGGCAGTTTCTTATAAAATGTTTGCTGAATTACCAGTCTAGTTTTAACAAATTTCTGCCACTTTTTGTTCTTCGCCAAACTGAAAGTTGGCGGCGTAAAACAACATTCGGCTACATGCCAACATATGTTACCTTGCATGAAACAACTGCATCGATACTGACGACTTAAACAAAACATTTAACTATAAATATTTCTATTTATTTAAGGACTGCGCTCTCAACAGGTTTTTCTCAAAAATTGTTTTGAAACTGAAGCGTTGTTTTCAGAGCGTTTTCGACGTTCACCTGTAGTCAATAATATGAGCGCGAAAGCGAAAGTATATTTTGAGTAGTTATGAGCATATGTGAGTTTTTTATTGAAAATAAAAATATTTACAGATCTCCTGACATTGAAGATAGACTCAGTCAATCTTGGCGGACTTGTTTTTAACAGCGGTTTTATATTTGTAAGTTCTTTTCTTTTTTGCTCAGGAGTACGAGTAGAACATTTTCATTGTCTTTCCAAAGCAATTAGGTAGCCGTTCCCCGCTCCATTCATTTTAATTTCGAGAAACATATACCATAGAATTCCGAAAGTAATGTTCTCCCTGAAAATAACGACTCGCGGAAAAAACATTCCTATTGAACCCCAAAAGCAATGGTCCTCTGCGAGACTCTCGTTTTCGTTTTTGGCTTTCCTATGACGTTGTGGAAAATTCTCAAATCAAAACTAATGATACTCAAAAACCTTTCTATATGATTCGGCTGAGTCTTGGTTGTACAATGTTCCTAGATGTCTATATATATTTGTTATACGTCAGGCTGATTTCCAAGTCAGTTGATATCGTTCACTTTATCACGGAACAAGTGCAGAAATGGTCAAGCCTAGATAGGTGAGCAAGAGATTTGAGTTGTTTGATGTAAAATACAGTTCAATCATCTGTTGTCAAGTGTAAACTATCAAGCATGAATGAGTCGATTAAGTAGACCGTTACGCGCTCGTGAAAACAATTTTTAGAGTATCTCATCAGTGCTATAATAACTCCATTTGTTCATGTCACAGAACAAAAGATACTTAGAAACTGGTGAAGAGGTTAAAGCCACTGGTATTTAGAGCAGCTACTATCAAACGCAGAGAGACCGGCTCGGTGAGTGAGGCCGAATTTGGCTTAATGTCTACAATTTATGCTACGCACCTCTTTACATTATTCAAAATATTGCTCTTTCTGTTCTTTTGAATACGCTAGTGAACTTTACGGGCAAATAAAATGGCTATCTCTTATTTAATTTGCCACGTTTATGACATTTGGTCATATTTGCTTCTGTGACAACATTTGTAACTCTTCAAATGTTGTCAGAGAATGTTGATTTACGAAAAAATAAATTCCTTCTGACTATACAAAGTAATTGAAAACTACGGGCGCTGCTATGAAAAGCACAGTGAAAATACTTATTTGTACTTGTTTTGATGAGAGTCGTTTTTTGTTAAAAGTGAGACCGACTGCTTAGTCAGTGGTATGTGTAAAGTACTCACGATAAATTGATTTATTTAAGGCTGTGTTTACAAACACAGCCTTGCCGGCGAATTAACAGGTTGTGCTTTTAAACACTAAAAGCTATATGCCAAGATATATTATCTTGTGTGAAAGAACTGTATCGATACTGACGATGAAAACAAAACATTTAAGGGTCCCTGTCCATAAATATGAAAAATAACTCGGCAAGGGTCGAAAATTCGATTTCCCTCATATTTTTACGGTAGATAGGCTAGGGCATGATAAAAAATACAGGATAATATTTTTGGGAAAATATCCTTTTATTTCAAAGAAATATGCAAATTACCAAATCCCATTAAAATCGTCATTAGACGTACCATTTTATTAAACAAGTTTGAGAGCCTCGCATGCAAAACCACATCATTCTTCCGTCTTTAAAACAGTCAAATATTTTTGTGCAATGTTTAAATGTGTACTGGATTGATTTTAGGGAATGCTGCGTTGTCTTTTTGGGTGCACAATAATTAAATTTCGAAGGACATGTATTTCATTCACTTAAAAGTACTTCGTGAATATAATTAATTTTCACCATGTGCGAAACCTTCAAATGGACCAAGCTTCTGGTGGTTGAATT